AGTCAAGAAACACCAGGAAAGATTGGTGGATGGTTGTTTCGTGGCAATATCCCTCTGCTGCAAATGCAGTGTTCCAGAGCATATTTCAGGGGCTGCCACAAAGAAGAGGGGGTCAAGCTATTCTCCAAAGCCCCTGAGGGCAGGACAAGAAGCAATGGGTGGAAACTAATCAAGGAGAGAAGCAACCTAGAACTCAGGAGAAATTTCCTGACAGTGAGAACAATTAATCAGTGGAATAACTCGCCTCCAGAAGTTGTAAATGTTCCAACACTGGAAGTTTTTAAGAAGAGATTGGACAACCATTTGTGTGAAATGGTATGGGGCCGTGACGGCGAACCTATGGCATGCGTGCCACAGGTGGCACTCGGAGCAATATTGGTGGGCACGCGAGCGTTGCCCTAGCTGAGCTCCAGCACGCATGCACATCCTGGCCAGCTGATTTTCGGGCCTTCTGGGCCCACCAGAAGTCAGCAAATGGGCTGTTTCTGGCCTCTGGAGGGCCTCTTGGGCGGGGGAGAAGGCTGTTTTCGCCCTCCCCAGGCTCCTAGAAAGCCTCTGGAGCCTGGGAAGGGCGAAAAATGGGCCTACCGGGCCCACTGTGCCATCACATGCCAAAAGTGGGGGGAGCACAGGGTGGTTGCATGTGCATGTATGGGGGGGCAGGGCACATAGAATTATGGGTGTGGGCATGCACGCGACCACTCCGCACTCCCCCCGCTTTTGGCACGCGATGGCAAAAAGGTTAGCCATCACTGGTATAGGGTTTCCTGCCTAAGCAGGGGGTTGGACTAGAAGACCTCCAAGGTCCCTTCCGACTCTTATTCTGTTCTATCCCTTAAGAACATACAGATAGTCCTCATCTTAACAACTATTCATTTAGCTACTGTTGGAAATGACAACAGCACTGAAAACAGACTCGTGACTCCTCACATTTACGACTGTTTCAGCATTCCTACAGTCACATGATCATATTTGGGATGCTTGGCGAGTGAAGAGTTGCAGCATTCCTGGGATCATGGGATTGCCTTTGGTGACCTTCCCAACAAGCACAGTCAACAGGAGAAGCTGGAGTTGCTTAATGACCGTGTGGTTCATTTAACCGTGGCAAGTGGCTAAAACAGTTGTAAAATCGGACGCGAGCCACTGAACAGCCATCTTGCTTAGCCATGCAAATCCCAGTCCCCATTATTGTTGTAAGCCCGGGGTGTCAAACTCGATTTCATTGAGGGCCACATCAGGATTACGATTGACCTTGAGAGGGCCGGAGTGGGCGTGGCCAGGGTGGGCATGACCAGTTCTACGTCACTCATGTCGGGGGCGCCTGTGGTGGCCCCAGGGCTCTGCCAGAGAAAATGGACTCCTGACCTCCATTTTCGGTTGCTATGGCCTCCCGCAACCCTCTGCCAGTGAAAATCGAGCTCAGGAAGGCCACATGCGGCCTTCCTGAGGGACGTTTTTGCTTCAGAGGCACCTTGAGCCAGTCCTTTGCTGTTTCCAGGATGGCCACACGAGCCAGATCTAAGCACCCCGTGGGCCAGATCCAGGCCCCGGGCCTTGATTTTGAGTTGTAAGCTGAGGACTAAGGGAGGGATCTTAGAGTCCTAGTGGCAACCATTTAAACATGAACCAACAGTGTGCAACAGCAGTAAAAAAGAAAAGAAAAGAAAAGAAAAGAAAAGAAAAGAAAAGAAAAGCCAATGCAATGCTAGGTTGCATTAACAGATGGATAGAATCAAGATCACGTGAAGTAATAGCGCTGCTTTATAAACCCTTAGTAAGACCACACTTGGAATAGTGCATCCAATACAAAAAAAAAGATGTTGACATATTGGAAAGAGTTCAGAGAAGAGCAGCAAAGATGATTAGGGGTCTAATCATTGCAAAAACTGGGTACGTCTAGTCTAGTGAAGAGAAGGACCAGGGGTGACATGATAGCAGTCTTCCAATACTTGAAGGGCTTCCACAAAGAAGAAGGAGCCAACTTATTTATCGAAGCACCAGAAGGCAAGACAAGAGACAAAGGATGGAAACTCATCAAGGAGGGGAGCAACCTTAGAACTAAGGAGAAACTTCTTAACAGTGAGATCAATTAACCAGTGGAACAGCTTGCCTCCAGAAGTTGTGGGTGCTCCATCACTTGGAGGCTTTTAAGAAGAGACTGGGCAGCCACTTGACTGAAATGGTCTCCTGCTTGATCAGGGGGTTGGACTAGATGACCTCTCAAGAGCCCTTCTAACTCCGTTTCTGTTACTAACTCTGTGTTACATGTCCCATGGCGTGATAAAAAATAATGAATTTCAGCCCTATCTTCCCCTCTTCACAAATCTTGTTTTTCGTTGGGAATGCTATATTTTTCTGCATTTTAAAAAAAAAAACTGTCTTTTTTTTTTTTTTAGCTTGCACCATCAAGCTTCGACTTCCATCTCCTACCAGTCCCACAAGAGGTATCCCACTCAAAGCTTCTGGCTTTTCATTTGACAGCTGATCATTAGTACAGCATTAATGCGCTCCTTATCTGCAGCGGCTTCGTTTCTCTGACAACTAATAGTTTCCAAACTTAATTCTTGCTTGCCCCGCAGACACGTCTCGCCTTGCTTAGCGTCTTTCCAAGCTGTCCTGGCAAACCACCGTCAGCTCCTTCCAAAACTTTCATTTTTCTCCCATTGAAATTTAGATGGATCTCTGTTTTTTACAGCTCGGCTCAGATCTTTTATTAATGAAGGATTGTGCTTGTTTTCTCTCTTTCAGGAGCCTCTGCATTTTCACTGTGAGAAATTCTAATCTGCCCTTCCTGTGTTAGTTCTGTTCCTCAAAGTTCTTGTTTTCTTTCTTGCAAAGGATTGCATTGAAGGTGTTTTGCTTTTCATATTAATTCAGCTGCTTCCAAGTGAGATTTCCTTTAGGTTGTTCTTGTCTAGAATAACAGCATACTGTAAAGCAATTTATTATTTTTGAGAAATATATATACACAATATATATATATATATATATATATATATTGTACACGCACACACATAGATACATATATGCATATGCATATGCATATGCATATACATATACATATACATATACATATACATATACATATACATATACATATACATATACATATACATACTGTTGTGACCTAGGCTTCCTGAGTCATTAAAACACACCAGTAGTCCCAGATACCTCTTTTATTGCAACAGCTGTGAATTACGTTCATTCACAACTGAGTCCCAATTAGTTGCAAAAAGTCCTTCGGGATAATCACCAACCTTTATCTCCCTTGACACTCTGCCAAAGATTTACTTGGCAAAGCCACACAGATTCCAGAATCAAACAGAGATGCCAACTGGGAACAGAATTAACAATGTTGCTTTCCTGCACCCATGTGCCTTTGCTCCTCTTTTAAGCCTTATGGGAGGGGCCAATCATCTCCAGGCCTTACTCCTGAGTTGTCCCTTTTGTTTTAACTGTTCGTGCCTTCTGGCAGCTCTGCGCATGCGTGCACTGGGAACAGGCTCCTCCTGTTCCTCTGCCTCTCTGCTGTCCGACTCTGAAGGCTCCGGAGTCCGCACATAACTCCCAGATGGCCCTGGCCCCATATCTGACTCCGACGCAGAGCCCTTGTCCGGGCCTTCCCCAGACTCCAGGACTGGCCCATGTTCCTTCCCAGCCTCCTCACTGTCCGACTCCCCTGCTAGCTCCGTAGGCTGCTGGCGGACCACAACACATACATACACACACACACACGTGTGTGTGTGTGTGTGTGTGAAAGGGGTGGGTTCTACTTACCTTTACTACCAGTTCGCAGCGGGGCCACGCACACACTCTTCTGCGCATGCGCAGAAGCATTTTGATGACGTCGGGGTCGGTGGGCAGAGCCTCCCGCCAGTTTTACTACCGGTTCTATAGAATCGATGCAAACCGGGGGGGGGGGGCAACCCACCACTGGTGTGTGCGTATCATGCATATGTTATTCATCTATTTTTGTCATATACATCGCCTTGAAAGGGCCCTTTCCTGGAAATTTGTCAGGAAACAAATAATACATAAATATATTCATCTGTCTTTAACATTGTACTCAGAGGTGGGATTCACATACTGTAGCAACCGGTTCGCCCAGCACTAGAAATGTGAGAGTGCGCCGTCCGTGCATGCGTGTGGCATCACAAAACATGGCAATTCACTCACACGTGCCATCCGCATATCATGCAGCGTCAAATAACACGGCCATCCGCACATGCGTGCAGCATCAAAAACACAGCGATATAAGATGGGATTGTGCCCGGGCCAGGTCGCTACTACTGGTTCGCTCGAATTGATCCGAACCAGCTGAATATCACCTCTGGTAGAACTTATGGCTAGATTCTGATTCTCTCTTTTTTTTTTTAGTTTTTTATTTTTTAGACAAACAAACATTTAATACGTCAGTTTTCTCTTCCCTGTGACATCTTGGCATTATCTTCCAAAGTTCATTCTTCTTCTGTATAGTTGTCATTACTTCTATCTTGATCCTTATCCAGTCCACAATATCAATTCATCCCTAACATAATATTCAACTCATCATCTATTTTTACATACTTATGTAATTAATCATTTATATCTCTTCTCCAACCAATAATAAAAATCATTCCATATTTTAAAATATTTTGAGTCTTCTCTATCTTTAATCATCAGAGTTAGACTCTGATTCTCTTTGATAAGTTGTCTTCTCTGGTACCTGAAACATCTCACTGTCTTAACCAAATAACCATGGAGCTTGCTTTTGGATGTCCATTCTACAAGTGTGCTAACAGTGCCCTAACCATTTGATTCCTCCTTTTATGAAAGTTTTCCCGCTTTTTTCTGATATAAATATGGAAAGTACATATTAACTGTGTGAGGCTTCTAAGTGGCAGTATCTCCATACTTTCTTATGGAGCTTCCAAGGAAGAGTTGTCACCTTGTAGGGGAACCATCGTTCTCCAGCTGTTTGCTCTGCCTTTTGACGAATGCATGATTTGCTTTATTTTTAGAGGCCAAGCCTACACTTCAGCCCCAGCTACCCATGGCCCAGCTCCTCATGGCCCAGCTCCCCATGGCCCAGCTCCCCATGGCCCAGCTCCTCATGGCCCAGCTTCCCATGGACCAGTTTCCCATGGACCAGCTCCTCATGGCCCAGCTCCCCATGGACCAGCTCCTTACACAGGCTACATTGAAGCCCCAGTGCCTGCTCCAAAGCCAAGAGTTGTGACTACTGCAAGCATAAAGCCGTCGGTCTATCAGCCAGGTAAGGGGATTTTGAATGTATCCTTGACTGCATCCAGTAATATTCATTAACAACAACAAAACTTTAGGAAGAAGAGGGCACAGGTAGTCCTTGGTTAACAGTGACTTCTGAATAGCTTGTTCTGTCGCCCTTCCTCACACAGACAAACGTAATACCAAGCACGCCTGCCAATATTTTATTAGGTAAACAGATTAGAATTCCTGGCAGACCAAGGTTTTGGCAGCAAACTGCCAAATGCCTGCCAAGACCGTTTTCACTTCAGTCCATTCCAGGAGCAACAAATTATCCATGAGACAAGAGTTTAGTCAATGTTCAGTCCAAAATATATCCAAGCCGAATTTCAGAGATCACAATGTGACTTTCAGGGTTTAACTTTGTCTGTCACAAAGCCTGAAGAGCAATCCTACCCACTTTTATTCCTGGTGGGGCGTGGCTCCGTGACTCAGCTCAATCTCTGGCCCTCCCACGCCTCTTCCGTTGCTGCGCACGCTTCTCCCTCCGACGCTGCCTGGGATCAAGCCAGGATTCATCATCCTCGCTCCCTATCAATTGGTGCTCCGATATGCCTTCCTCCTGGCACATCCCAGGCTGTTCCTCCTGGCCTTCAGATGGAACCTGAGGCATTGCCAGAAAGGAGGGTCCTGGAGAGGGAGGCCTTGTCAGTTCCTCCCCATCACCTTCTGAGTCCTCTTCCTCTGTTAGGACAGGCTCGGGAGTCGGGGTCACAACAATAGTCCTCAAATTTACAATTATTGCAGCATCTCCCTGCCATGCAATCGTAGGCAACCATTGCTCATTTACGATGCTCAGAGCATCTGCCATCTTCCCAGCTGGCTTCTGACAAGCAAGGTCAATTGGAAAGCCATCAGGAAGTCGCAAGTCACCATCATGTGATTTCTCGCTTAGTAGCAACAGGAGACTCATTTAAGAACCATGACAAATGGGTTGTAAAATTGGGTGCGGTCATGTGGTGACTCACTTAACAACCGGGCTACTTAGCAATGAATTTTCCAGGCCTTATTGTAGTTGTAAATCCGGGTCTACCTGTACTTAATTTTTTTGTTTCCCTTCAGTTGAATGGATGGTGGATCTTTTCATTGTTTTTTGAATAAATCGCAGAATGGTGGTTTTTTTACATATATTTTTATGCATATTATAAAGTTGATGTTTCCTTGGAGTTAAGATCCACTTCTGATAACTTTGTGAATGTGCTTGTAGTTTCCATGGGAACAATGAAGGAATTTTTGCTATTGCCTTCATCTAGGCATTAAAGTCCCAGTTGGGTACAACTTGATTTATCACTGAAATTCAGCTGGGGTCCAAAACAGAAAAAGATTCTGGAATCGGGCACAACCTTGCTTTGGAACAGGGGTGTCAAACTCGATTTAATTGAGGGCCACATCAGGGTTGTGTTTGACCTCTGGGGGATGGGGTGGGCGTGCCTCGCTCGACATCATTCATGTTGGGAGCGTCTGTGGTAGCCCAAGTGTTCTGCCAGCGAAAATGGGTTCCTGACAGTGGTGAAATCCTCCCCAGTTTGCTTCCGGCACATGCATGGTGCACGCCAAATGCATGCTGTGTGCACACATTCCCAGTGCATACCAAAAGCACACTGCGTGTGCATGCGCAGTGCGCACCAAACATGCGCTGCACACTGAAAAAGAAGGCTTAACAAGGTAAGTAGAACAGCGAGGGGGAAGGAAAGCTGTGTGGTGCGATTTAGATTCACTAGAAAGCATGATTTCCTGCTTTCTAGCGAATCTTAATCGCACAGCACAGCACTGGTATTGTCAGAAATACCAGTTCGGACGAACCGGTAGCTTTTTTTTAAACTAATGGTTCACCCGAACTGGTGCGAACCGGTAGCGTTTCACCCCTGGCTCCTGAGCTCCATTTTTGGCTGTGACGGCCTCCTGCAACCTTCTGCCAGCCAAAAACAGAGCTCGGGAGCATGTTTTCACTGGCAGAGGCACCACGGGCTGGTCTTTCACTGTTTCCAGGACAACCCTGTGGGCCAGATCTAAGCACCCTGTAGGCTGGATCTGGCCCCCGGGCCTTGAGTTTGACACTCCTCCTCTGGAATGAGGGGAAATGTGACAAGCGCACAGCTCTGTTTGCCAGCATTTCCTGGCCCCCACAGAAGGACTCTGCCCCTCTGGAGAGAACAAGGCTTTATAAAACAAGAGCCACAGGCATTCGTTCATTTCTCTTTTGTCTACCGAGCTGCCTTGATGTATAAACACAGTTAGGAAAATTCTGCATTCCGCTGTTGAAATAAGGACACTGTTTAACAGTTGCTGAAAAAACAACTTCACATTCTTCTTCTGTTTCTGGAGATAAACCGCTTCTTCTGAAACCTGAAGTATAGTCCTTGTTCGCAGGATGCCAGTTCCCCCAAGTTGTCAGCAGATGGCATGACATTCTAGGTTTCACCCCCATGATCACCTCCGTCTTGAGAATTAGCGCCTTCTGTTCCTAGCAAGCAGAGGAGCCCCTTCAGATGTCTACAGACATCTGTGTGGTACATTCCTTTCATTATGGTAGCATCCCAGAAGAAGAATGCTACCAAGGCATAAGAATTATGCCTTTCCATGTTTTATCGAAGTCCTCACCAGAATAAAACAACAGAATCCAGATACGGTGGGATGAGCATCACTTAAGAATTAGGAGGTTACTTTTTTGAATACTGCATTCTTTTAGTTGTTCATTGTTTTTCCCTGTCTGAAATTCAGCAACTCGCCTAGCAAAGAACAGGTACATCTGCAATCTTTCTTCTTGAGATGCTCATGATTAGAGCTGCAGTGGCCCAGTGGTTAGAGTGCAGTACTGCAGGCTACTTCTCCTGACTGCCAACTGACTGCAATTTGGCAGTTCGAATCTCACCAGGCTCAAGGTTGACTCAGCCTTCCATCCTTCCGAGGTGGTAAAATGAGGTCCCAGATTGTTGGGGGCAAGAGGCTGATTCTGTAAACCACTTAGAGAGGGCTGGGAAGCACTGTGAAGCGGTATATAAGTCTAAGTGCTACTGCTATTGCCCTCCCTCCTTCCCTCCCTTCCTTCCTTCCTTCCTTCCTTGCCATGGTGGTGCAGTGGTTAGAATGCAGTCCTGCAGGCCAACTCTGACCACTGCCTGGAGTTCAATCCTGACTAGCTCTAGGCTGATTTAGCCTTCCATCCTTAACGAGGGCCCAGATTGTTGGGGGCAACAGGCTGACTCTGTAAACGGCTTAGAGAGGGCTGTAAAGCACTGTGAAGCGGTATATAAGTCTAAGTGCTACTGCTATTGCTATATAGTTTTCACGAAGAAAATGATACCAAAGCAATTTGAACATTTAAGCCAGCGTTCTGATTAAGCAACAAGATATTTGCCTTCAAGAGTTTGAGTGACATAAGACGTCAGGAGCTTGGGAGCAAGGAAAGGCCTTTGTTCATAGATTTTTAAGTTTTTTAAAAATATATTTATATGAAGGAATGAGGCCTTGGGCTAAGGTGGGAATGGAATGAGCCAATGGAGCTGGTATGAAGGAATGGAACAAAGCTAAACAGGAAATTAAAATAAAGCTTTCTTTTAAACATGGAACAGAAGGAGGAATAGAAAAAGACACTGTTCCAAAATTTATGACTGAAAGCTATAACATGCGATCCAGGATTAATTTCGAAATTCTCTATCTTTTCGAGCTGATGAAGTCTTGAAAGTTAAGCCTGCAAAACATCTTAGAAGATTTTTCAAGTTCAGCTTCCTGCTTAGTATTGAATTTGCTATGCAATCACTACTTCACTCCACCAGGGAAAGGAAGGCCACCAAATTATGGGACCTGCAAAATTAGACATTTTCATAAAATATGGGTCCAAGGGTGCTATTCAGCAGGTTCTGGCAGGTTCTGTAGAACTGGTAGCAGAAATTTTGAGTAGTTCGGAGCAGTAGTGAAATCCAAAATTTTTTACGACTGGTTCTGTGGGAGTGGCTTGGTGGGCGTGGCAGGGGAAGGATACTGCAAAATCTCCCTTCCCACCCCACTTCAGGGGAAGGATACTGCAAAATCCCAATTCCCTCCCCACTCCTGGGGGAAGGATATTGCAAAATTTCCATTCCCACCCCACTTTGGGGCCAGCCAGAGGTGGTATTTGCCAGTTCTCCAAACTACTCAAAATTTCCGCTACCAGTTCTCCAGAACCTGTCAGAACCTTCTGGATTTCACCCCTGTTTCTAAGTCACTTTTTTCAGTGCCATTGTAACTTCGAATGGTCACTAAACAAACTGTTGTAAGTCAAGGACTACATTCTCTCAGGGTAAACAAAAGTGCAACATTAACCACTGAAATTAGTGAAAGTTCGTGGCAAAAATAGAGTAAAAAATGTGCAAAGTAGAAGTGAACAACAATAGCAACGAAGGAAGCCATGGAAGGAAAGGATTGCTAATATTATGCAATTGTTGATGGTTATTTTATCCTGGACTGCAGTGTTGATAGAGATAACCTGCTTGAAGATAGCCAAACCAAGCTAAATAATGATTCTTGCAATTTATTTGTCTCTAAAGACAGAGGATTATCCAATATTTTAAGTCTGCTGCAGCATCAGATTTTGAAAACAGGCTAAGCATTAGCATTAAGATTATCTGAGGCTGCTCTGGTACGAAGGGGAACGTCCTGATAAATATTGTGGTTTGCAGAAACAAAAATGAGGATTATTAAATGCAAATTTCTCATTTACAGCAGCTCCAGCACCCGCCCCACCATCGGTGTCCACACATACCTATATTCCAAGCCACGTTGAGCCTGCAAGTCGTCCCCCCTGGGTGACGGATGACTCCTTCTCCCAAAAGTTTGCTCCTGGGAAAAGTACAACCACCGTTACCAAGCACATTCTGCCAAAGGGTGCTCCGATGCCTTCATCTTCTGCCCCACCTCCCTCGATTCCTGCGTCCATCCAGGCTCCTGCTATCGCGCGGGGAACAATCCAAAGAGCAGAACGCTGCCCCGCCAGTAGCCGAGCTCCGCTCTGTGGACATTGTAACAGCATCATCAGGTAGGTCCATTGCATCCTCCGTGGAAAGAAATCCTAGTGGAGTGCAGTTACATTTATGCCAGAGACTAACGATGGTGGACCATCCGTAGGAGAAAAGCAGGCAGAGCTGGGAGGGTGGAGTTAAGCGCGTCATCAGTTTGGAGTTCTTGCGTTGCCATAAGAGATCCAAGTCCAGCTTCTTTGAATTCCATTGGCCCTTATCTAGCACCAATTTTAGTGGTGACCATTAGTTGACTGGTTGTTGTGACCCAGGCCCAAGTAGGTAGTATTAGATGCAATATTACGCAAAGACGTAATATTAGTTCCAAAACAAAGAGACTTTATTAACTCATTCTCAGCGTAGTCCAAATTAAATTAAAACAAATTCTTCTTAACACAAATTCTTCAGTCTAATCACCAGCCTTGGAATAATTAGGGAAACTGCCAAAGGCTTCTCTTGGCAAAAGTTCAGAAGCAGAAGACGCCGACCAGAGATATGTGCAGCAAGATAAGAATAAGTCTATCAATGTTGTTTTCCGACAAAGAGCCCAAGAGCCGTTGCTGGTCTTTTAAGCCTTATGGAAGGGGCCAATCATCTCTTGGCCCTACTCCCGAGTCGTCCTCTTTGCTTTAGCTGCTCTTGCCTTCTGGCAGCTCTTCTCATGCGTGAACTAAGAACAGGCTCCTCCTGTTCCTCTGCCTCTCTACTGTCAGCCTTTGGAGGCTCCGGAGTCCGCACATCACTCCCTGATGGCCCTGGCCCCATCTCTGCCTCTGACGCAGAGCCCTCATCTGGGCCTTCCCCAGCCTCCAGGACTGGCCCATCTTCTTCCTCAACCTCATCGCTGTCCAACTCTGCTGCCAGCTCCGCAGGCTGCTGGCAGACCACAACACTTGTGTATAGGCTTGAGCAAGGGTGGGCTTCAAAAATTTTAGCAAGGGGTTCTCTGCCCAGTTGCTGGATGGGCATGGCCATGGTGGGCGTGGCCTAGTCAGCCTCCTGCACCACAGCGGGGGGCGGGGGGTTGCACTCCCCAGGCTCCAGATTCTTTCCTGGAGCCTCTGGCAGGGCAAAAATGGCCTCCCCAGGCTCCGGAGGCCCTCTGGAGGCCAAACTTCAGGTAGGCCCATTTTTCACTATCCCCAAGCCTCCACACATGCCCTGTTCTTTCCTGCATCCAAAACGGGCCACATGGGGACTCCTGGGAGGGGTGGGATGGGCGGGGCAGGGCGGGGCAGCCAGGAGTGGGATTTTGGGGTTCTCCAAACTGCACAGAATCTTAGCTAGAGGTTCTCCCGAGCCCCTGGAAACCCCCAGCAGCCCACCCATTGGCTTGAGCAATAAATCTTTCTGCACTGCATCTTAACCTATGATCCTGGTTTTTTTTTTTCCACCTGACATTAGCTTCCCTAGAGAAAATCTTGTCTTTTGTGTACAGTGCCTATCTTCATCATTCGGCCCTTGGAAAGCAGAAATTCTGTTCAGGTCACATCCTATATTCATGATGGATACTGAAAATGGTTAAAACATTGTTTCCAAATCTGGTCACTCCTAAGATGCTGACCTACAAATTCCATTATCTCCAACCAGTAGGGCTAATGATGTGCAACACAGCTAATGGGATCCAGTTTGGAGAAACAGAAATGTTACCGGTAGCCATCCCAAACTAGCGTAGACTTCTTCGTAAATACATTCTCTTTCAGGTAAGGAGTTAAGCGGGGGTGAAATCCAAAAATTTTCCCTACCAGTTCTGTGGGTGTGGCTTGGTGGGCGTGGCAGGGGAAGGATATTGCAAAATCTCCATTCCCACCCCACTCCAGGGGAAGGATACTGCAAAATCCCCATTCCCTCCCCACTCTGGGACCAGCCAGAGGTGGTATTTGCCAGTTCTCTGAACTACTCAAAATTTCCACTACCGGTTCTCCAGAACCTGTCAGAACCTGCTGGATTTCACCCCTGGGATTAAGGGATTCCTAGACGAATGGAAGTTATTAGAATGATTCATATCTTGAGGATGGGCTGTATGTCATTTCCATAGACAGTGTTCTAATCTTGCTGTAAGTAGGACATTATCAGATTTTATGTTTTAAATCAGCAAAGACTCCTGTCTTTGATTATTGTTTTGTTTTGTTTTTTTAAAAAAACATTTTATTAGTGAAACAAACAAACAAAAAAGACTCCATCAATGTTAGTAACAATAAAGAAACTATATAACGATTGAAATAAATAAAACATAAAGGAAAAAAAGTAAGGAAAAATGAAAGGATCTATATGACATCAAAATAAAATTAATTCAATTGTTAAAACTTATTAAATCTAAACCATATAAACACATGTGGCTCCATCTTCTCAATTATGATGATCGACTAAACTCCATCTGATTTCTCTTCTCTTCTCTTCTCTTCTCTTCTCTTCTCTTCTCTTCTCTTCTCCTCTCCTCTCTTCCTCTTCCTCTTCCTCCTCTCCTCTCTTCCTCTTCCTCCTCTCCTTTCTTTTCTTCTTCTCTTCTCTTCCTCCTCTCCTCTCCTCTCTTCTCTTCCTCCTCTCCTCTCCTCTCCATTTCTCTCTTCCTCTTCTCTTCTCCTCTCCTCTCCTCTCTTCCTCTTCCTCCTCTCCTCTCTTCCTCTTCCTCTTCCTCCTCTCCTCTCCTCTCTTCCTCCTCTCCTTTCTTCTCTTCCTCTTCTCCTCTCCTCTCTTCCTCCTCTCCTCTCTTCTCCTCCTCCTCTCCTCTCCTCTCCTCTGTTCCTCTTCTCTTCTCTTCTCTTCTCTTCTCTTCTCTTCTCTCCTCTCCTCTCCTCTCCTCTCCTCTCCTCTCCTCTCCCTTAACAGAGACTTAAAACCAAGATTTTTCTTCCAGGTTCCCTTCTCATAGTTCCTTTTAGAAAGATTTGTTGAAAAGAAATGGATGGAATTCCAAAAATTTCAGCAACTGAACTATTTCCTGTTTACAACCAATATACCTCTATGCATATCAAGGAAAAGGCTTTCTGAATCTCTTCCTAACAGCCTCCTGAGATGGTGAGGAAGTGGATGTTTTCATCACCTCCTGGCTGTCTGCAGAACCAACTCCTGGATCCGTATCAGTCTGGGAACCAACCACCAAGGGCAACCTATTTTACAATCACCATGGCTGCCTATTTGTCACTCGGGAGAAGCATGTCACAGTTTGCACCCAAAACAAAAGGACGTTTCAGAATAGAATAGATACTCTGGGATACTCCTTAATGCAGCAATGTTTCCTGGAATCGCACATTTCTTGGAATTGCACATTTCCTGGAATCACACATTTCCTGGAATTGAACATTTTGCAGCACAGTTGCAACACAATCCAAAGAAAAGACATGTTTGGTTTTAGATGAAGTATAAGAGTCCTTATAGGAGTGTCTGCTTTTCTCCCCACTTTGAGGCTGGTAAATATTCAAGGATATCTGTCTGCTTAGGTCCTAATGAAATCAATGACTCGTTAAAAGATATGTTGGGAAGGACTTTCGCCTCTTCATGGTATAATTTCTCCTGAGTTAGTTAGCCTGATAGACTGTCAGCCTCTTTAATGGAGCTTGGATCTAACTTTCGTGCGCAGGAACTCAAGGTCAGCATATCAGTGTGTCCAGAGGTGAGGTGCTGCTTGTTCGCACCAGTAGTTAAGATTCCGCGCAGTTCGGCGAACCGGCAAATCTCACCACTGACTGGCCCTGCCCCCACTTGTTTTTCGGCCTGTTTTCCAGGCTGTTTCTTGGCCGAGCCATTTTTGGCCCAAAAAACAGCTGGAAAGGGCCCAAAAAATGGCCTGAAAATGGCCGAAAAAATGGCCGAAAAACAGGCAGGTGAGGCCAGCCAGTGGTGGAATTAGCCCGAACCAGCTGAATCCTACCTCTGCCTTTGAGGTGAGTGGCCAGAAGGCGGGGCTGGGTGTGATGAGTGACATCACCCACCCAGTCACATGACCAACCAGCCACGCATACCCAGCCAGAGAACCGGTTGTTAAGTTATTCAAGACCCACCCCGGCCAGGCCCATCCAGCCAGTTATTTATTTATTTATTTATTTATTTATTTATTTATTTATTTATTTATTTATTAAATTTATATACCGCCCTATTCCCGGGGGACTCAGGGCGGTGAACAGCGAAAGATAAAAATACATGTAATACAAACGTTAAAAAACCAATTAAAATATACTAAACACTCTGGTCCTAGATAATTCAAGACATCCCAGTTTAAAACAAAATCAAAAGCAATATAAAGGGAAAGTTAGGCCAGGCCGGCCTGCTGAAACAGGAATGTTTTGAGGGCACGGCGGAAAGTGCGCAGATCCGGGATCTTCTGTATCTCTGGGGGGAGCTCGTTCCAGATGGTGGGTGCCCTCACAGAAAAGGCTCTCCCCCTGGGGGCCGCCAGTCGACACTGTTTGGCTGACGGCACCCTGAGAAGCCCCTCTCTATGGGAGCGTACTGGGCGGTGAGAGGCTATTGGTGGCAGAAGGCAGTCTCGTAAGTACCCCGGTCCTAAGCCATGGAGCGCTCTAAAGGTGGTAACCAAGACCTGGAAGCGCACCCGGAAGACCACCGGGAGCCAGTGCAGCTCGCGCAGGAGGGGAGCCACATGGGAGTGCCATGCTGCTCCCATAACTACCCGCACGGCCGCATTCTGGACCAGCTGGAGCCTCCGGGTGCTCCTCAAGGGGAGCCCCATGTAGAGAGCATTACAGTAGTCCAGGCGTGATGTGACGAGGGCATGAGTGACCGTATTTAACGAGTCCCGATCCAGAAAGGGACGCAACTGGCAAATCAGGCGAGCCTGATAAAAAGACCTCCCGGCCACAGCCGTCAAGTGCTCTTCTAAAGACAGCCATGAGTCCAAGAGGACGCCTAAGTTGCAAACCCTCTCCATGGGGGGCAATGACTCGTCCCCAATAGTCAGTGATGGCACCAACTGACTATATCGGGACGTCGGAAACCACAGCCACTCGGTCTTGGATGGGTTGAGCCTGAGTCTGTTCCTCCCCATCCAGATCTGTACAGCCTCCAGGCACTGGGACATCACTTCAAGGGCATCATTGGGGTGGTCCGGGGTGGAGATGTATATCTGAGTATCATCAGCATACTGATGATACTTCACCCCAAAACTACGGATGATCTCACCCAGCAGTTTCACATAAATGTTAAACAGAAGGGGCGAGAGAACCAATCCCTGTGGCACCCCACATACAAGGGGCCTCGGGGTCAACCTCTGCCCCCCTGTCAACACGGACTGCGACCGATCAGAGAGAAAGGAGGAGAACCACCGCAACACGATGCCCCCCACCCCTAGCTCTTCCAATCGGTGCAGCATGATACCATGGTCGATGGTATCAAAAGCTGCTGAGAGGTCTAATAGGACCAGGATAGAGGAGCAACCCCTGTCCCGGGCCCTCCAGAGATCATCTACCAATGCGACCAATGCCATTAGGGCAGAGAACCGGTTGTTAAATTATTTGCAGCCCACCACTGAGTGTGTCGATACCCCTCGATCACTAATTTAAAAAGCATCTTTTCTCTGCAAGAAACCATGGTTCAGGAGAGTGCTTTTCCCTGAACCAAGACTTTTGTGACATTTTAGAGGAGCGGATTCATCTGAAGCTTGTATGGATTATTTATTTATTTATTGTATTTATTTATTGGTTCGATTTATATGCCGCCCTTCTCCGGAGACTCAAGGCGGCTTACAATGCGTTAAGCAATAGCCTTCATACTTTTGTATATACCTGCTTAGTAGGGCTTTTTGGCCCCCCCAAGCGATGTTCTATTTTACACAAAGTCACCTTATTGCCCCCACAATCCAGGTCCTCATTTTACCTACCTCGAAAGGATGGAAGGCTGAGTCAACCTTGAGCCTGGTGAGATTTGAATTTGCAGTAATTGCAGGCAGCTGGTGGTACTTAACAGCACTTTAATCTGCTGCGCCACTAAGGCTCTTAGTGTCCTAGGTATTAGACACCTGTTCACGAAGGCATGAGATCTGTAAATGGGTATAGAGGGGACTATTGTAAATGGGGCACCTATACTAAAATAGAGACAGCGTATCTATGTATAGATGTAAAATAAACCCAGTGGGTACTTCCAGAAATGGCTTTTCTTATTCAGTGCCTCCACCTTATTAATTTTATAAAGGAATTATTTGATATTATCTCCTTTTGTACTCCACTATTTTTCCCCACTATGTATCAGGGTTTTTTTCCTGGGGAAAAAGTAATAACATCTGTTAAGGAATGGTTGTGATTGGTTGTGCTAGAATCCTCCTTCTGAAACCCTGCAGTGGCTATTCAGAACAATAGTGATTGATAAAACTCATTGGCTCAATTGGGTTGACCCTCTCTCTACTTTTTACCCCTTCTTTTCACCCCAAATGCAGACTGAATTGCTTCTCCCCTACGTCAGGTGCTAAGAATTGGGACCATCCATTAGGTTGCTGCACAGAAGATTTATTCAAGCCTACACACAAGAATCTAGTCAACTACACTAAATTGGGCCAGATTAGAATGGTATTCAGGAGTGACGTTTGTGGGAACGTAATGACTCTAAGCTGATGACACACTTAACTCCACTTTCCCAGCTCCGCCTGCTCATCTCCTATACACATTAGTATAAATGAAATGGCATTTTATACTTTCGATCGCAGAATTTAGCTCAATAAGCTTTGAATTGCTTAGTCTTTAAGGAGGTTTTTCTGGGTTTTGCTAACTAATTTCTAGGAGTCGTAGGAACAAGGGGGGATTTGATTTAAATCAAGCCAATTTAAATCACGAGCCGAGGGGGCGCAGTGGTTAGAGTGCAGTACTGCAGGCTACTTCAGTTGACTGCTAGCTGCAGTTCAGCAGTTCAAATCTCACCAGACTCAAGGTTGACTCAGCCTTCCATCCTTTCCAAGGTGGGTAAAATGAGGACCCAGATTGTTGGAGGCAAGAGGCTGACTCTGTAAACCACTTAGAGAGGGCTGTAAAAGCACTATGAAGCGGTATATAAGTGCTATTGCTATTGCTATTAAATCACTAGTAAAAAGGCTTGATTTAAATCAACTCAATTTAAATCATAATTTTTAAAGAGCAGCTGTCATCTCTGCCCCGCAGCAGCTCCTCCTCTGACTGGCTGTTGACTCACTGAAAGTCCCAATATTGCAGAATATACAGCCTCATGCTACATAACAATGCTCCATTTCATGCTGAATAAACTAAATTATGAATGTATCTTAAACAGAAAACTACCTTTAGATAGATTTTTACTCCAAGAGCATTTTATTAAAATTAATTTGATAAAAACAAAAAAAAAATCAAATTTAAATAAAAAAAATCAGATTTAAATTTTAAAAAATCCAATCCAATTTAAATCATCGATTTTTATCCACCCTGATTGGAACAGACCCATATGTGCAAGGGATAAAAAAGCAAGGGATAGAAGAGCAATATATTTCTGAATGTGTTTGATTCATTCTTACAGAGGGCCCTTCTTGGTAGCCATGGGTCGTTCTTGGCACCCTGAGGAATTCTACTGTGCTTATTGCAAGACCTCTCTGGCTGATGTGGGCTTCGTTGAAGAACAGAACAGCGTCTACTGTGAGCATTGCTATGAACAGTTCTTTGCCCCGACCTGTGCCAGATGCCATGCCAAGATCATGGGGGTAAGTCCACAAGCCAACTGGGAGGAATCCTGGCCAAATCATGTCTATGGGGAGAGTCTAGCTACCAGATATGGGCTGCAGGAACTTGAATGACCCTTGGGGAGCACTAAAGAGACAAATAAAACTCTAGCTCTCTGCTTCTGTGTAATGGTCATCTACCCTTTTGAAGCCCAGTTGCAAAATTTCAGTTACGGTGGGCACAGAAGGTGTCTGTTCTGACCCAGCCTTAGCAGAAGCAAGAAACAGACTCCTTGTCACAAAAAAAACCCCACTTTATTGTGAATTAATTGCATTCATCCACCGAAAAGTCCAGGCAATAGCCCTTCAAGGAGTTAACTGCAGTAACAGACCTTATCAGTTCCTTGCGATAATTGGAGCTCCCAGCTGAAAGACTGCAAATTAAGTTCTGGCGAGCAGTCTTTGATGCACGAAACACAATGAGCAAAATGTTCAGAAATACGAACTGTTGTCTCCTACGACAACCACTCCACTTTCCTTCTATTTATTCCCCAGCCAGGGAGGGGCCATTCAGCGTCCATGTGTGCTTTGCTTACTGAGTCGACTCCTTGCCCTCCGTTGCTCACCTCTCCTAACTGCTCTGTGCATACACACTTCTGGAACAGGCCCCAGCTGTTCTTCCTCCTCACTCATATCAGCCTCCAAAGGCAGCTGCCTCTCTGGTGGCTGGGTAATGTCGGACAGCCCTGGCTCTATCTCTGCATCCAACACAGAGCATCCATCGTACCCTTCCCCAGACTCCAGAACTGGCCCAAGTTCCTCCCCAACCTCCTCATCATCTGAGTCTGCCACCAACTCCGCTGGCAGCTGGCGGGCCACAACAGTCTCATCATCTCTATCAGTCCATAAACATGGACCATACCCAGTGGTGGGATTCAGCCAGTTCGCACCACTTTGGGAGAACCGGCTGTTAACTTTCTGAGCAGTTTGGTGAACTGGTTGTTGGAAGAAATCATTAGGGCAGAGAACCGGTTGTTAAATTATTTGAATCCCATCACTGGCCATACCTGTTAGGAAAGACAGAAGAATAGACTGTGGCTTAGAAATGAAGAAACTCTGCTGCTTATTAATTGAGATTCGAGTCAAACCTTGGCTTCCATTTGCTGCGAGATATTCCCTTCAAGGAATGTCCCTTTTCCTTTATCGACTTTCCCATAAACTAAGCAGGATGCCCTGCAAACTTAAACTGATCGTCTAGGTTGCTATGCAAATACTCAGTCAAGTTAATTAGACTTATTAACAGTGACTCATCAGTGAGACATCTCGTTAACGAAGAATGATCACAGGGTTTTATCAAGAATATGTGAGAAGAAGGGAACATCGGATTAAATTAGGTAATACCTTGGAAACTAGGAATTTTTAAAAAAAATCTGGAGAGGAGAGACCTCATAAACAAATTGCTCAAGAGTATATATTGGAAACTAGCTTAAATATGAAAATGCTGGAAATTAGTTAAAACAATAGATATGGGGTGAAGAAGAATATGTTGGAAGATAATCAAAATGAAGCGAGATGTATGAAATGATTCTGTAAAATGAAAAGTGTAATAGATGATAAGTTTAAGAAAATTAAGCGTAAGTTAATAGAGCTTAGAATTAAAGACTTGATGTAATGGCTCTAGGAATGAAGGAGGATAGATAGAAATTTGATTTATAAATGGAAATAAAACTAGAGCTATGTTTATTTGGAAATTAAGATTTGTGGTGATAAAATAATAAGGTAAATACTTAGATTAAGATGTTAGAATATTTGTTAAAAAATTGTGTTTTGATTTTTATGCTAAAAGATGTAATTGAGGAAATTCGGGAAAGAGTTGTTAAAGAGTCTTAAGCGAATGTACCTATTCATGACCGGGTCAAGACTTCATTCTTAAAAGATGTAGTTTATGTTTATGTTTTTAAAAAATTAAAAAAAAATATTTTTCAAAAAAAGAAGAAGAGGTAATTAGCTGTGGTCGGCAAAGTCCTGTACACAAATTATCCCAGTCCTGATTTTACCCTGGTCCCTTGAATCGGCCTACTTCAAAGTGGTGTGTTGAAATGACTTAAATGTCCACAACTGACAGTTTTTGTGTTTTAAGCAGACATTTATGGGATAGTTGGAAATGCATAACACAGTACTGCATTCCCAGCCCAAATTTTCTCCTGTGGAGATCTGAATCCCCAATACCCTCTAGATTAAGACATCCAGCTGAAGCACACTCTTTAAAGGTTGAAGTAAAGTCACACCACCTTCCTCTTCCTAATGCTTTCCTGGGGTGCTTGACTGTACAGGTAGTCCTCCACTTACAACCATTTGTTTAGTGACTATTTAAAATTACAATGGCTATTCTGTCATCACTACACATTAATCTGTGTGCAGTTTAACAGGCAGCTAAACCCACCTATCCTCCAATAAAACAGACCGTGTGTGTAGATCTGGATGCTTTATTGAAAGAACAGGATATGGTGAAACTGGGGAAAATAGGGATACATACAATGAGAACCAAATACAAGATAGGCGCTATTGAGTTACTGCTGAACATAACAATTAATAAATACAAGCAATCTAAATCTCACCAGCGATGCTCTGTGTATGGGGGATGTGGGTTTGTCCTTGGATAACCATGTGCCACAGATTAAGATGGATTCTTCTTTGTGCGTCTGCCTTCTCCAAATGCTAAAGGAAAATGGAGTGCGGGCTGATGGGTCAAGGGGTGGGGTCAGCTTCAAACAATATATATTGGTATTTGTCACTCCGGCCACTAGATGGGGCTAGAGAGCAACAACAGTATTTAAAAGTTATATGCTGGGGCATGACAATGGCGCTGAAAAAAAGTGACTTATGATTGCTTTTCACATTTACAACCATTGCAGTATCCACATGATCATGCGATCGAAATTCAAATGCTTGGCAACTGGTTCATATTTACGATGGTTGCAGTATCCAGGGGTCGTGTGATCCCCTTCTGTGACCTTCTGACAAACAAAGTCAATGGGGAAGCCAGATTCACTTAACAACCATGTCACTAACTTAACAAATGCAGTGATTCACTTAACAATGGTGGCAAAATGGACAAAACTCAATTAACAATTGTCTCGCTTCATAACAAAAATATAGGGTTCTATTCTGGCTGTAAGCCGAGGGCTCCCTGAAAACTCCATGAACCGTAGGCAGCTCAGCTGCTTCACTGGACATGATAGAAGTTGAGGTGCACCACCACATCTGAAGAACTTCTTGTGTGTTGTGGTCCACCGGTGGCCTGCAGAGCTGGCAGCAGAGTCAGACAGTGGGGAGGCTGGGGAAATACATGGGCCAGTCCTGGAGTCTGGGGAAGGCTCGGACGAGGGCTCTGCGTCGGAGGCAGAGAGGGGTCCAGGACCATCTGGGAGTTATGTGCTGCCTCCGGAACCTCCAGAGTCAGACATCAGCGAGGCAGAGGAACGGGGGGAGCCTGTTCCCAGTGCACGCATACGCAGAGCTGCCAGAAGGCAAGAATAGTTAAGACAAAAGGGACGACTCAGGAGTAGGGCTTGGAGATGATTGGCCCCTCCCATAAGACATAAAGGAGGAGCAAAGGCATTTTGCAGGAACCTTTGCAGGAAGCAACATTGTTCAGTTTAAATTCTGAAGCTCCGTTTTGACTCTGTGCTCCGTGTGGCCTTGCAGAGCTAATTGCCAATTAGGTCTTTGGCAGCGTGACAAGGGAGATAAAGGTGGGTGCATATCAGCCTTATCCCGAAGGACTGTGGCAGACTTCTGTCGAACTCTGTACAAACTATTTGGGACTCATCTGTGAATGAACAGATTAAGAAGGAACAGGCCGTGAATGAACAGAATTCACAGCCGTTGAAATAAAAAGAGGGTTTGGGGGGACTCATGGTGTGCTTTTTACTGCATCAGGAAGCCTAGGTCAGAACAGACATTTCTGGAAAATCACTTCTCCTTTCTCTTCCAGGAAGTGATGCATGCTTTGAAGCAAACCTGGCACACCACTTGCTTTGTTTGCGCCGCCTGTCGGAAGCCCTTTGGAAACAGCCTCTTCCACATGGAGGATGGAGAACCCTACTGTGAGAAAGGTGCTACAAAGTTCCTCAATCAGTTGATAGTCTTGGAGCTTTCCAAAGAAAACACCCTAAGCTTGGAAATCCCCTCCTTCTCTACCGCTTTCGTTTATGCTTGCTTCTTGCAACTCTTTGCCAGACGGTGTTCATGTTCAGCCATGTTCTCTTAGGGGTGACTTCAAAAAGGCAAATCTGCATTGTGCTTTCATGCATCTCCTCTTTTTCATCTTCTGCTTTTCCAAAATTTGCAGGATATTTGGGCTTTGTGAGGTCCTCTTTGGTTCGCCGTGACTTTGAAAAGCAACTGCTAGTTTGAGTTCACCGTCCTAACACACTAGACACTTTCAAGGAACACTGTGTGAAGTAGAGGAAAATTTGATTCCCAGAAACTATTTTGACGTGGTCGTACATTTTTCTTGACAGCAATATGTCAACTCTCTTACTCCTGCAATTTTTTTCAACTTCTATAGATTTAGTCCTGACATTTCCTTCAAGACTCAATCTTGTTTGGGGGTTGCTGTTTTTTTGTTTGCAAAAGATTCGTTTTTGCAAACAGCCGAATGGCTTCTGATTGAGCATTCCTAAGGAGATAAAGAGATTTTTTTTTAAAAAAAAAAATACATTTAGGTAAGGAAAAAAATGGTCCTTCAATTAAAAATCTAGAGATTTTTAAAAAGGTAATTATTGCTCTAGCATTGCTAATATTTGGTGCAGAGGAAGCAGCTTATAATACACAATATTCATTCTATAAATGGTTGCATTTGCAGCCTGGGCTCTGGCATTGCTTCATGTCAGAATGCCTCACCGATCATGTTTAGTCTTGCCCTCCTTCCCACGAGTTCTCCATGCATCTTTATTTGCTTTCACAACTGCGAAATGCTCTAAGGCTGGTCAGGCTAAGAGAGAGATCAGCTAGCTGATCTCTCCCCCCCACCCTACCCCTTGCCGTCTGTAAGAAAGCAGGATTCGAAACTAGTTCTTCCTGCTCCTAGTCTAATGCTCCAAATATTGTGCCACACCAGGCAAGTCAACCCATTTCAAACACCGTTCCAGAAACTCCCACAAAGTTGAGGAGGAAGGCAAGCAAAAATAAACCCACAATTTTGCATCCCATCAAAGAAGGCATTAAAAAAAAAATACTGTAGTCTTTTTGTCCCAACACGACATATGTGTCTATGACATCATCGGAAATCAAGAGAGGACTTAATATATTTATTGTAGTACTCTTTATGTCGTAAACCTCATTTTTTCTCTTTGATATGTATTCTTCTAGACTATGTTGCCTTATTCAGCACCAAATGTCACGGATGCGACTTCCCCGTTGAGGCTGGAGACAAGTTCATCGAAGCCCTTGGTCACACCTGGCATGATACATGCTTCATTTGTGCTGTAGGTATCTTCCCAAGACTGCTGGGTGGGTCAAAACATGTAACACACAAACATAGATACCCAAGAGAGGGTCCAGGAATCTTCATAATGAAACAAAACACCTTGTAGGTATATCCAACCTGCTAGGGATGAGGGATCATATGACATGTTCTTCAAAATGTGTAGAAGAAACCACATTCTGGTTCTTCTTGGAGGTAGATCTGGATCATCTTCATCTGTGCTCAGTTTGGTAGATCATTTTGGAAAGAAATGACTGAAAACCCAAAACCAAATTGCACCAAAACCCAAATTGTTTTGTGTGTTTAATGTCAATGCATTAAAGGATGTTTCTTGAGGCAAGTCGGTGATTTTCTAAAGAAACTGAATGAAGGAGTCATATCAACCACGTAGACAAATCTCTCTCTTTCTCTCATTGTTTGAATCAGTAATGGGGGCTCAGCCAATGGTGGGATTCAGCTGGTTCAGGCCGGTTTGGGCGAACTGGTAGTTAAATTTCTGGCTGCCCCTGCCCCTCCCTGCCTCACCCCTTCCAGGAGTCGCCAGGTGCCCCATTTTGGCTCCCAGGTAAGTGCAGGGAGGCCTCCTAGGCCCAAAATGGGGCACGGGGGTGCGGTGCCCCCCCCATGACCCATTTTCTCTCCCAGGAGGCTTCAGGGAGGCCTACTAGGCCCAAAATGGGGGCAGGAGACAGTGCATCCCCCCACCACAGTCTGTTTTTGCTCCCAGGTGGGGTGCAGGAGGCTGAATGCTGCCTGTCACATCCCCTGGTCATGCCCACCATGGCCATGGCCATGCCCACCCAGCTGGTCATTAGAGAGAACCAGTTGTTCAATTATTTGAATCCCACCACTGGGCTCAGCACATTTTATGTTAGATTGCTCTAACTTTGCTGATTTTGCAGAATGGACTGAAATGTAGGGGACTCAGAACCGCGTTCTGCTTCGATGCAATTCCAACTTCCTGTATCTTTCGTTTGCAGGTCTGCCATGTCAATTTGGAAGGTCAACCGTTTTATTCGAAGAAAGATAAACCTCTGTGCAAGAAACACGCCCATGCCATCAACGTCTAAAGGAAGATCCAGGAAAGGAATAACGAAGTAAAAAAGTGTGGTTGATCCAACAGATTAAAATATAGATCACTATGGATTTTTGAGGATAGAGGAGGGGAGATCACAAATTATGGACACTTTGAATTATGCTTTTGTGTGTGCAGATCTGTTTCTGGTGCACAAAAGAGTGAATACATAGCTTGACAGCCAACTTGCGTTACAAATGCTTGAGCAAAATGAACAAAATAAGGGGGCAGTTTCTATGTAAGCATATTTAGGATAGCCTTACTCTAGTAGAACCCATTACTGTTAAAAAAATAATAAATAGAATCCTTTCTTAGTATTATAATACAGCTCAAAAGTGCCAAATTACACAAAGTAATTTAGAGCAGGGGTCCCCAAACTTGGCAGCTTTAAGACTTGTGGACTTCAACTCCCAGGAGTTGAAGTCTACAAGTCTTAAAGCTGCCAAGTTTGAAGACCTCTGATTTAGAGTCATAGTCCATTATGACGAATCAATTAAGTATTCCTTACCCAGCCAAACAGAGAGATTCCACTGTTATACGTCATGCCTCTTCTTCACACTACTTAGATGTGGCATAACTTTTAGGTTAAAAAAAATATTGTAGGCCAGATAGAATTAACTAAAAACACGCCATGGACTGACCCAATCAAAGCTTGAATCCAAACGCAACTCAAAACCCCTCTGGTAATTCTCCCTAATTACCAGGTTTTCTTGTATATAGGTGTGGTTTTCCTGGATTTAAAAAATATGCTTTTTCCAAGCTGGTAAACTTTGGGGATAATATCAGACCCCCCAGCAATCGTGAATGGCTCTTCCTAAGTCTCATTCCTATATTAGCTACATCCCTCTAGTGTAGAACTGTTAGAAAATGATTTTCAAAGGACTCTGGATGTGTGTGGCTCTTGAGCTTCTGATCGTTGGTAGGAAAGTTGGGCAAAATGATGAGAAGGATTGCATGGAAGAGTGAAGAGTTAAATCAGTTAAATCTACCATTGTGGAAGGAAGGAGAAAGTATTGGGTTGTAGGTTCACCGTGCCATTGTCACTCTCAAGCCAACTGACCATGGGGGAAACACATATGTAAGAAGTTTCCCCAAGGATGAGACCCTCCAACTTGGTTGAGATTACTTGCAACGGGTAGTAGAAGCTGTAGTCTTTGGATATCTGGAAGCCAACCCTTTGCTTTCCATTTGAGACTCTTTGCCAACTGATAGATAAGGATTTGGCTGGATAATCCATCAGGAACACTTACTTTGAGCGCTGGAAAACTCTTACTCGTAAATAGGGAAGGTGGTAATTTAGTTTTTGTTGATGGTTAGGAAAAGCTACGTTATAATTGCAGCTACAAAAAATATAGAGACGGGGGAGGATATCCAGATTTTTTAAAAAATTCTTTGTTTTCAAGAATGGGACTTTTTGGTTGGTTAAAGCTGGTGCCATTCACCGGACAGACCTTAAATGAGAAACTTGCGATTCTTTAAAGGCGGAGTCTCTAAAGTGTGGTTGTGTTTGCTGCTACAAGAATAAGAAGCCTGCAAAATCTTGAGTAGTTTTCCTTTCTTTTTTTTTTTTCTTTTTTTCAAGTTTTTGAACAAATGCTATTTAGGATTTCTGCAATTATTTACTTTTTGAAGCTTTTGTCCTCTTGTGTTGGGCAGCCTATATTTATTCTGGCTGGCATTTGGGTATTTAATCCTTTCGCATCAGGTAATTGTTTATATACGGTGAAACCACTGGTTTATATCTGCTCAGATAAGCAGCCTAAATTTAGACACAGAAGGACTCATTCTATGTCAACATTGTTAGGCGCTCATTTGAATGGGCAACACTGTCATAAAGATAAAAGCTGTTTACTCCTGTAGAATATGTTCCAACATGGAAGCTTATGATTTCTTATTTAAAACAATGTACAATATTTATTATTTGTTTGGGGGGAAAAAAAACAAGAGGGAAGAAGATCGCAGTTTGATTTTCATAATGTTTGCTGTTTGACTGGAATCCCGACCTCATTCAGGCAAAAAGCTAAAATAAAAGCTGCATTATAACCATGGCTTCTTCTCAAAATTCTATCCTTATTTTAAGATCCCTTTTGGATCCTGTGGAAGAATAAAATATGCTTTATCGATGAACTGGCATTATTTGGATATTAAAATGCTTAAGCAGGACTGAGCCCAGTCCCTCATCTCTTGTCTTCTGCAAAGAATGGAACACACCGTACAATATTTATTTTTCTGTATATAACATTTGTTCAATCCCTGCCTTGGATAATTGAGCAAATCTTGTTTATGCACATCTTGTTGACAAGAAGTCTTGTTTATGCACATCTATAGCACTTTAATTCTTGCTTAGCTTGTCAACGTAACAAGGAAGGCACAAGCATGTCGAGAAGAATCTGCGGCATTTCAGTCAAATGTTTTATTTTTATTTTTCTGAAAGACACGCTTTCGTTTTCTTACATATCCAAGCTAGTAACCTAGTGCAAAATGCAATACAGCTCCCTATAATCCGAGGAGTCAACGAAGTATAGAGGTAAATTCTAATTCAAATTCTCTTCGGTTAGTTAAGTTCATCAGTAACTCCAAGAGGGAATTCCATTTTTTGGCATCTTAGCAGAAGCGTGGTCAGATTCAGCTGTGGATGGTGAGCTTCGTGTACAAAGATAGCACAACATAATTCATTGAAAACGTTCGTGCATGGCATTAAGCCATAAAAGTGATTTGCTTTAGTTTAATACATCTCGTGGTGAGAACCTATCCCATTGTGGTTATTCCATTCTGATTTATTCACTAAGCCATAGTTAAAGAGGGCATAGCACAGGATTGGATCAGTCCATCAACAAATTTTAGGGGTTATTCTGATGCTATAGATCAGGGGTGGGTTCTACTTATCTTTACTACCGGTTCGCAGTGGGGCCATGTGCGCGCTCTTCTGCGCACGCGCAGAAGCGTTTTGATGACATCAGGGTCAGTGGGTGGAGCTTCTCGGCGGTTTTACTACCGGTTCTATAGAACCGGTGCGAACCCCATCACTGCTATAGATAGGGTATGTTTATCAACTCCTTTGGGATAGACCTATTGCTAATACCATCCAATGTGCAAGAAGAGAAAGCAGATATGGAACTGTGTAGCCATTCAACCCTCTTTAAGGATCAAGCACCCCAAAATAGTATTCCCTTACCTTGGACCATTTCAAAGCATCATTCTAAAGAAAGGAATCCATGATTTAAAGATCTTTTGTGATATATTTTCCATGCCAGATTATGAAAAAAAAATGCATTCTTATCAGTGGTGGAATTCAAATTTTTTTACTACCGGTTTTGTGGGCATGGCTTGGTGGGCATGGTGTGGCTTGGTGGGTATGGCAGGGGAAGGATACTGCAAAATCTCCATTCCAACCCCATTCTAGGGGAAGGATACTGCAAAATCTCCATTCCCACCCCACTCCAGGGGAAGGATACTGCAAAATCCCCATTCCCTTCCCATTCCTGGGGGAAGGATATTGCACTCCCCATTCCCTCCCCACTCTGGGGTCAGCCAGAGGTGGTATTTGCCGGTTCTCCGAACTACTCAAAATTTCCGTCACCTGTTCTCCAGAACTTGTCAGAACCTGCTGAATTTCAAAATGAGAGAAGTTGCCTCTTCTTCTTCTTCTTCTTCTTCTTCTTCTTCTTCTTCTTCTTCTTCCTTCTTCTTCTTCTTCTTCTTCTTCTTCTTCTTCTTCTTCTTCTTCTTCTTCTTCTTCTTCTTCTTCTTCTTCTGCCACATCCGTCATTGGACATTGGCAATCATGTTGGCGATCCTATTTTTATTAACAGCCGCACAAAAAAGTGCTGTTGAGTTTTGTCCAAACCGGTCCCTTAGGTTTTGAAGCCATGATGTTCTTCTTCTGCCTGGGCCTCATTTGCCTTCAATCTTTCTTTGGAAGTATTTTCTTAAGTGAAGTATGCCGTATTTTTCTGGGTGTCGCATCACATGTCCAAAATATTCTAACTTTTGCTTTTTTTATGGTTTTGATGATTTCCCTTGGCTTTCTCAGGTGGCTTATCATTTCCTCATTTCTGATTATGTCAACCCAACTTATACATAAAGAGAAATTGCTACAGCAAACTAGATTAGGTTTCTACTCCATTCGGGAAGGCTGTTGATATTTGACATTGATCATATTTCCTCATGATCAAATTTTATTTGAGTAGAATCTCATCCATCTATCCTTAACAAACTTTTTTTTAATTTTATAGAACAGTAGTCCTAGACAAGTAGTAAATTCATTGTTCTGCAGCAGGAGAAACACTGGGGAGACTAAATTTACCAAATTTATCTTTATGACAGATACAACAATTACGATTTTTTATGCTAAACTAAACTTGTTATCCTTTGGTTCCACTTTTTTTGCCTTTTTCTTCCTAATACTGTACCTGTGAATGACCAAATAATACAATTTGCCTATTAACCTATTCAGGAGATTTGATAGGTTATATCAGTGACATCCGACTCAATGATGATTTAGATTTTTTAATCGTTGATTAAAAGCAAATCCATTGAAATCAAGGGAGTTTTATTCTAACAGAACCACTGAAGCATGATCCTACTTATTGCAGCTAATATTTTCGCTCTAGCTGAAATGGTCAGAAAACGGTTTAGAATTTTGGGGGCATAACCCAGATTCTGTTGAATTTTGTGACAAAACTCTGATTAATTTGTGGCTGGCCTTCCATCTTCCATTTAGTCTTAGGACAATGCATTTTGCTTAAATCCTAATTCTGAAAGGAAGTCTACCACAACCAATTAATCACTGATCTATCTATCTATCTATCTATCTATCTATCTATCTATCTATCTATCTATCTATCTATCTATCTATCTATCTATCCTACCTTTGGTCCTTCATGGGTCAGTAGCTTGGGTTATACACTCTATTTAAAGCTTTCTTTGTATTCAGTGCTAAAACACAAAATAAAATTGATGTTGGGACTCAGGTGAGATAAGATGTCCCTCTAATAGATGCTATTTTTTTAAACAAAGTTATTAACCTCTGTGATTGAGTGATTTGCTTTGTACTGAAGTCATGTGAAGCTTTTGCTTTGATTCTTTTTTTTTTAAACCTGTACGGAAATATTGATACGATACCACAAGTGACCTTACTTTGAAATAAGGTTTGAAGCAGATCACCATGGGTATTTTTTGTTTGTTTGTTTCAGTTGCTCAGCATACAGTGTGTTTATTCATAAAGTGTGACTTGATATATCTTGCATGGATTATCGGTGCCAACACTAATAAACTATTTTTTAAAAGTATGACCTTTTTTCCCCCTGAATTTATGTGAGAGAAGAAAAAAATGTTCAACAGCCAGAAATACTTTTGTCAAATAAACATCTTCTTTGGAATCTGAGCCATCAAATTTGTACACTTTCTTAAGTAGCCCTTTCTTGTCTGATGTTTTTCAGTTCAGTTAGGACTTCTCAAGTGGTGGGTTTCAAAAATTTTTACTACCGGTTCTGTGGGTGTGGCTTGGTGGGCATGGTTTGGTGGGCATGGAAGGGGAAGGATACTGTAAAATCTCCATTCCCATCCCACTTCAAGGGAAGGATACTGTAAAATCTCCATTCCCTCCTCAATCCAGGGAAAGGTTACTGCAAAACCCTATTTCCTCCCGATCAGCTGGGACTTGGGAGGCAGAGAATAGATGGGGGCAAGGCCAGTCAGAATTTTTACTGCCGCTTCTCTGAATTACTCAAAATTTCCGCTACCGGTTCTCCAGAACTGGTCAGAACCTGCTGAAACCCACCTCTGGTCTTCTCCCTGATCTTGTTCTATCATCAGTGCTCGCAGGGAGTGGGGTGGTAAACAAATGTGTGGAATTTCTTACAAGGAAGGAAAGCTGTTTGAAATCTAATTCTGTGGGTGATCTTAGAATGCAGTGCAGAAGGGAGTGGGGTTTATTGAGAGGAGGAGGAGGAGAACTGTGGGGGCTTTAGTACTCTCTGATCTTGGTGTTTTTCTGGCACACATTTCATGACCCAAGTAGGTAACATCATCAGTGATAGAATGTAGTGGGCTTGCTCTGTCAGTTTGCTCTGTCAGGTTTGCAGTGGGGCTGCGCGCGCACGTGCTCTTTTGCACATGCGCAGAAGCATTTTGATGACGTCGGGGTTGGTGGGCGGAGCCTCCCACCGGTTTTACTACCAGTTCTATAGAACCAGTGTGAACCGAGGGCAACCCACCACTGCTCCTACCCTCAAAATGACGCTATAGGGCACTGCACACCAGAACAACTAGACACAAGAACAGTTTTTTCCCGAATGCCATCACTCTGCTAAACAAATAATTCCCTCAACACTGTCAAACTATTTACTAAGTCTGCACTACTATTAATCTTCTCATCATTCCCACCACCCATCTCCTCCCACTTATGACTGTATGACAGTAATTTTGTTGCTTGTATCATTTGTACCCTATGACTATCATTAAGTGTTGTACCTTATGATTCTTGACGAATGTATGTTTTCTTTTATGTACACTGTGAGCATATGCACCAAAGACAAATTCCTTGTGTGTTCAATCACACTTGGCCAATAAAGAATTCTATTCTATTCTATTCTCCCAAGCTCTGTTTTCGGCTACCACAGCCTTCTGCAATCCTCTGCCAGTGAAAACAGCCCTCCTGAGCTCCGTTTTCACTGGCAGAGGGTTGCAGGAGGTCGTGGTAGCCGAAAATAGAGGTTGGGAGCCATTTTCGCTGGCAGAGCACTCGGGCCACCACGGGCACCCCTGACACAAGTGACATCGAGCTGGCCACATCTACCCTGGCCATGCCCACCTTGGCCCCCTGAGGTCAAACACAACCCTGATGCGGCCCTCAATGAAATCGAGTTTGACACCCCACCTAGAACAACAGCTCAAATCAAGGAACTACCAACTCAGACAAACCATCAAACAGTAAACAATGGCCTAATCAAGGAACCACCAACTCTGAAAGCTAAGCGACTGGTTATAAATTGAGGACTACCTGTAATAATTGCACTGAGGAAAGCAAAACCTGAGCCTGGTGGCT